AGTTTCTGTACCATCATCGTTCTCAAAGGTTCTATAAAGAAGATCATCTTTGAGCACTAGGCAATTCCATTGGCTCCAGTAACACTTGACTTCAGGACTACATGCACTAATGTCTTGCCAAGAAGGCCTTTCACTTCGATGCATCCAATCTAATACTCTCTTTATACATGGATCATCTGCTTGAGCGTCTTGTAGCTGTTGTAGCTGCCATTGATCATTAATGACGGTGGTTCGTCTCACAGGGCAAAGTCTTTCTTCTAATTTAAGACAGTGATTACAATGTTCACTGCACGGCCTTCTCGAAAGCGCATCAGCATTTAAATGAACTCTTCCAGCTCTGTGTTCGATCTCGTAATCATATTCTTGTAATCGTTCTAACCATCTTGCCATCTGACCCTCTGGATTACGGAATTGTAGGAGCCATTTTAGAGCAGCGTGATCCGTGCGAAGAAGAAACTTTCTGCCATACAAGTATTTATGAAAATGCTCGCAAGCCTTTACTACGCCTAGCAATTCTCTCCTGGTAACGCAATAGTTTCTTTCTGGTTTCGACAAGACTTTGCTAAAGTAAGCGATGACTTTCTCCTGCCCATCTTGGATTTGGGATAGAACAGCTCCTATTGCACTGTTGCTTGCATCGGTGTCCAACACAAATTTTCCTGCCTGTCTAGGGTAGCTTAAAATCGGTGCGCTGATCAGAGCCATTTGTAAGTGTTCGAAAGCTCTTTGGCACTCTTCGCTCCATGTATATTCTTTGCCTTCTTCTGTCAACTTTGTTAATGGCTTGGAGATGTTGGCAAATCCTTTGACAAAACGTCGGTAATATGTACAAAGGCCAAGAAAACTTCTAATTTCGTGTTTGTCTCTTGGTACCGGCCAATCCTTAATTGCTGCAAGTTTTTCAGGATCAGCTGTTACACCATTACTTGCTACAATATGTCCCAAGTACTTCACTTCTCGTCGAAACAAGTGACATTTCTTCGGACTTAACTTCAAATTTGCTGCCCGCAATCGTTGAAAGACTTCTGTCAAATTATTGGCATGTTCATCGAAGGATCTTCCTACTACAATTACATCATCCAAATAAACCAGGCATGTTTTCCATGTTTAGACCTCTTAAAACTGCCTCCATTAATCTTTCAAATGTGGCCGGGGCATTACATAAACCAAAGGGCATAACTGTGAACTGCCAAAGCCCTGATCCTATCGAGAATGCGGTTTTCTCACGATCAGCTGGCTCCATGTCTACTTGCCAATATCCACTTTTCAGATCGAGTGTGGAGAACCAACGAGAACCAGAAAGTGTATCCAAAGTAGTCGTCTATTCTGGGCAAAGGATAACTATCTTTTTAGTTACCGCATTGAGCTGTCGGTAGTCAATACAAAAACGTGTTGAACCATCTTTCTTCTTTACTAGCACTACTGGTGATGTCCATGGACTGTTTGATGGTTCAATTACCCCTTGTTTGCTCATATCTTTGATGATGTCTTCGGCTTCATCTCTTTTCGCAAATGGAAGTCGTCTAGGTTGTTGTCTGATTGGCTGAGCGTCTCCGGTATTAATTTTGTGCTTTACTATGCTTGTTTTGCCATTATCCTTCTTATCAATGGCAAAAACATCTTGAAATTCTATTAGCATAGACTTCACTTTTTTAGTTCGTTCATCATCAAGATCTTGGCACGTTTTAATCATCGTCTCAACAAGCTCCTTTGGATACTTAGATTTCGACGGTTTTTCATTAGTACTCATGGAACAAATCGAAGCCACGGGAACGCACTGTCCGATCAAAGTTCTTTTACTTAACTTAATAGCAGTTCCCTTTAAATTCATAACTCTTACAGGAACGACATCTCGAATTCTCACCAAAGCTTTTGCCGTTAGGAACTCGGCATTGTTCACATCTTCGACCATCCTTAAACTTCCCTCTCGGCAGTAACCATCAGGTTTGGTCATCAAAATTTTCTCACTATTACCGGTATTGTTACGTCGCAAGTAGTTATTAAGCTGATAACATCTTCTTTGTCTTCATGAAACGGCAACACTTCACCACTGATCTCGAGAACTCCATCTTTGACATTCAATACAGCCCCAACTTTCCCTTAGTAAATCCATCCCCAATATGAACTCGTCGGAGATCTCTGCAATTAATACTCTATGTTTCACTGTGGTCTGGCCAATGGATACTGACATATTAGCCTCACCATATGTATTAATTATCTCACCAGTTGCTGTTCTAAGCTTTACTGTTGCAGGCGATAATTTAAGATGGTCTCGTACTACTTCTGGCCGTGCAATAGTTCTTGTTGCACCTGTATCTACCAAAAACGATCTACATTTATTGTTAATACGACCCTCGATGTACAAACTATGAATTCCACCGGAGGACGTAATGTTCACAGTTACTATGGGGGCTGTGTTTCTCGAGGTCGGCAGTTGCCCCTTGGTGTCGACCCGTTCTAGTTTTCCGACTGTTGTATTATTTTCTTGCAATTACGACGAATGTGACCTACGTCACCACAATTCCAACATCTGGGCTCACGTTTCTTCGGCATCGTGTTACGAACTACTTTTCGTACCATTTCTTCCAGACGTTCATCGTTTGGTTCGTCGCCTTCTTCAATGTTCTTACTCGATGGCTCCGTGAAGTTTGACTAGCTGTTTCATGTTCTAAAGCAATAGCGAGCGCTTCATCTAGAACTTTCGGTCTTGCTAGTCGTAAAGCTTTCTGCAATTCACTTTCTTTTAACCCATTGACGAAGGTATCTACAGCGATTTCTTCCAAAATGTTGTCTGGTACCTCAGGATAAGCCAACCGCACTATACGAGCAACATCTGCTTCAAACTCTTGCAAATTTTCACTTGCTCGTTGAACTCTACTTCTTAGTTGCGCCTTGTAGACTTGTTGTAGATGAGCATCTCCGTAACGTTTGTCTAGTCGAGTGAACAATGTCTGGTAACATTTTTCTTGACCCTTAGGAATCGATCTTAGGATATCTGCAGCATCACCTCGTAAAGCAGCAGTCAAGGAAACAGCTTTTTCTTGTTCTGTCCAATGATTGGCTGTTGCAATAGCTTCAAATTGTCTAAGGTATATGGACCAAGAGGACTTTCCATCAAATGGTGGCAATTTGAATCTCATATGATGTGTCGTTTCGTCTCTCGGTGATTCTTCTTTTACTACCGGATCTAAGGCTACTTTATTAACTGGTGGTAGCACTTTTGTGTTAGTTATCATTATTTCTAATTGTTTGATCTTCTCTTCTACGTCTTCTATCTTGTCGTTTACATTTTTCTGTATCTTATCGAATGTTCTTGAGACTTCTTCAAATTTCTCATTGTTTTGGTTACATACTTCGTCGAATCTTCTAGACATATTTTCAAATTTCTCGTCATTTTGGCTAGCTATTTCTTTAATAATTTGAGACGTTTCATCGAATCTTTCATCATTCTTTCGAGAAGATTCTTCAATCATTTGCGACGTTTCATCGAATCTTTTGGAAACGGTATCGAACTTATTATCATTTTTCTTAGAAGTTTCTTCTATCTTCATTAAAACTGCTTCTTCTGCTGATTGAAAATGGAATGTCTCTGGGTCATCTCCATTCTTGTTAAGAACATTCTTTAGTCGTTCTTGGAGGATCTTCTTGGACCCGCTGCAGTCTTCATCGCGTTCTTCAAGTTGCTCACGCAACTGTTTTTACTGAAAGTTGTACTAGCAGCATCTTTGGTCAGGCACACACGTACTTTTTAAATGTTCTTTCGTACAACGATCACTACTGAACTACGCGGATGTTCCCGACGAACAATACTTTTCAAAAGTTCAAAAGTCTTTTTCAAAAGTCACTGTTGACTATTTTCAAATCTCACACCGGACACCACTGTAGCGAGATTAAATAAAACGAGCGGTTCGAATTTATATAAATATATTTATTTATAACTTTACAGTTCGGTATTCTCTTATCAACTAAACTTACTCCTACACCGTTACATATATATACCAAAGTATTATTTTCGAGAATATTCGGGAGTAGTCCCACCTCTAATTCGTTATCTGAAGGGTGGAATTTTACAGCGCTTGATGTATCGCCGACACTTCTCGATGCTTCGAGATGCGACCGTAAGGCGGGCCACTTAGATGCTGTGAGCTGTTGAATGCATGTTCGTAACAATATATATATATAATATATATATATATATATTATATATATATATATATATATATATATTATATAAAGGTTTGTTTGAAGTTTCAAGTTTATATAAACTCTTTATTAAAAACATAATAAAAATAACAACTACATTATAAAGTTGTTATTTTGTAGGCCCTTTACTCAAGGGCCAACTCTTGTGAAGATGCTATTCTAAATATAAGAGCGTAACCTAACATTCGAATTTAATTAATTTTATTTTCACTTGTTTCACTTGTTTCACTAAATACATTTACATTAGTTAAACAGGAGATAGAAGGAGAAACCCATACCAAGAAAAAGAAAACAAAACAGCAACCTACTTTGATCTATCTATCTCTGCTCTTATGCTTGTGCAGCCTTCATTGCAAACTTTTGGCTAAAGCAAGAGTTGTTGTGTTTACTCTTTCTTAGTATTTATTTAACAAATAACAGAGTTTTTCTTATAACCCGACAAGCGAGAGCTGGCGGGTTGCGTGTAGAACACATTGAAAAGTAGAAGGGATTGCTCATTTCTATTGCAGTCGCCTAGGAGTTCACATCGTGTATAACTGTTATAAGTACCTATACTATATACCTATAATCGCGATTAAGTACCATCTCCTATCTCTCTTAGAATAATTCCTTTTTTATTTTCACGCAGCTCACCCGCCAACTCTCGCTTGTCGGATTATACTAATGAAGAAGGTAAATAACAACACTTTAGACAAATCAAGTATTTCAGATGGATTAGTTGTTTTAACTACATCATTATTTATTATATCTCTATTAGTAATATATTCTTTTATAATGTTAAACTACATTTTTTTCAGATCAACCAATTGCCAGCGCAATAATAGAGGCCTTCAAAGAAATGAGATTACCTCTTCTCAATGAGGAAAACCCGGCAAATCCTCTAGGAGTATTGACAGGTTTTCAATGTATCAAAGATGGAATTAGATTCAATACAGGAAGAGCATTTTTGGGCCAAGTTAAAAGCAGATCAAACCTTATGACTGCTTTGCACTCTTTTGTACAGAAAGTAAATATAAATCGAAAGAGCAAATCAGCAACCGGAGTGCAAGTCAATGTTAGAGGAACAATTATAAACGTAAAAGCTAAGAAAGAGGTTATAGTTTCCGGTGGAACCGTCAACTCACCACAGCTGTTGATGCTATCTGGTATAGGGCCGAAAAATCATCTTGAAAAAGTGAACGTGGATCCCATTAAAGATCTGCCCGTTGGTGAACACTTAGAAGACCATACATTGCATGCCGGATTTTTCGTGAAGGTTAATCCCGAAATACAACTTATAGATAATCAGCTAGATACGATCTACAAGTACTTCGCCCACCAAGAAGGAAAATTAGGAACTCTCATGATCACCAACATCATGGGTTTCATAAATACCAAAAATGATTCGCAGTTTCCAAACATTCAACATCACCATTTTTTTATATCCCATGAACGACCGTTTTGTAGCATCAGCGTTTCCATCAGTAATGGGACTAAAAAATGAGATCTTAGCAAATATAAATGATGCGATTGAAAAAAAATCAGTGCTGGGAATTACCTCTACCGTACTTAATCCAAAGTCTCAAGGAAAAATTTTGTTAAAAACCAGTAATGCCAACGATAAGCCATTAATCTATTCTGGATATTTATCAGATCAAAATGGTGAGGATATGGCCATCATGCTGGAATCTTTAAGGTAAATTATGCATTCAATGGAAATATATACTCATATTATCTCTTCATTAAGATTTTACTTTGATTCTATAACGTCATGGTATATATTATTTGTAATGCCCAATCTCCATGCAACTCTATCTTCCCAAAGATCTTCGTCTAAACCTCTCTCTCGGATCTCTCTGTCTATTCCTTCTCTCCAGCTCTTTCTGGGTCGGCCTCTTTTTCTCTTTCCATGTGGTGACCAATCTATAATCTGTTTGGGCAGACGATGTTCTGGCATTCTCTGCACATGTACATACCACTTTAGTTGTTGTACTCTCATATCTTCAACAGTCGTATGTGTGACTCAAATAACCTCTCGTATACGTTCGTTATTAATTCTTTCGAGTTTTGATTTTCCTGCGGCCCGTCTCCAGTAGTCCATCTCCGTGGCTTGTAGTGTTCTTTCAGTAGTTGCCTTTAACTGCCACACGTCACTTCCATACATTACTATGCTCTTTATAACAGTGTTGTATATTCGATGTTTATTTTTTTTTTGGATATATGTTGATCCCAGATAATACTATTTAGTTGAGATATGGCCCTTCTACCCTGAGTGTTTCGTTTTTTTTATAGCCTGATCTGATTTGCCGTCGTCTGTGATTTCTACTCCTAAATAGGAATATTTATTGTTGTACTTAATGTGTTGTCCGTCGTTTAAAACTAGATTTTGTTCTTTACCACCGATGTTCATGTACATTGTTTTATCTATGTTGACTTCTAATCCCCATTTTTGTATTCTTCGATTAATTTTCGAGTCATGTATTCTAGGTCGTCATATTCGTTAGCAATCACAATTTGATCATCAGCAAAACATAGAGTGTACAGGTTGTTATTGTTTAATTGTATACCCATGCCGCTGCATTTCCGCTTCCAGAGTTTTTAATGCTTGTTCCAGATATATTTTGAAAAGTGTCGGCGCTAAGCAGCATCCCTGCTTCAGTCCTTTGTCTACTACAAAATCTTTGGAAACATTCGTTCCTATTTTAACTTTGGCGCTGGCCTTCTCATATAGTTTTTCCACTGCTGTTATGAGATTTGAGTTGATGTTCGTTTGTCTGAGAGTGTTCCATAACTTATTTTGAGGGATGCTATCGTAGGCCTTTTTTAGATCAACAAACAAAAAGTGGACTTCTTGATCTACAGCAACCTTTTTTTCTATAAGTTGGGTGATACAAAAAAGGTGGTCTATGGTCGATCTACCAGCTCTAAAACCCGCCTGTTCTTCTGCCTTCATATCAGTGTATTCTCTTTCTATTCTATTTTTGATCATTTTCCCATAGATTTTACTAATGGTACTAGTAACTGCTATTAAACGGTAATTGTCGCAATTTTGTTTGTTTCCCTTTTTATGTACAGTTGAAATGGTTGAGGTTTTAAATTCGGCTGGAACCTCTACTTTGTTTATGCAGTTTTGAAAGAGTATTGTCAAATGCTCATATAGTTTTTTCAGTTCCATATTTTATCAGTTCTGAGGGTATATTGCCAGGTCCGGGCGCTTTTTTGTTTTTGAGTGAAATACAGATATCCCTTACTTCCTTTTTCGTGATTCTTATAGGAGATGCTTCAACGCGTATGTTTTGGTTACTTTCTTTTATTTTGAATTCCATTCGGTCTTCTTGTAACAGTTTACTGAAGTACATGTCCCATCGTTTCTAACGAAATTGGTGAGATTAAATCTTTTTTCTTGTCGTTGGTCCTAAGAGATTTAATAAGTTTCCAGCTTTCTGTACTTCTAGTTCCTCCTATGTACGTACTTAATTTTTGACAGTTTTGATCCCAGGATTCATTTTTTTTCTGTCTTATCATTTGTCTCACCTTAGCTTGATGGTTTTTGTAATCAAACCATCAAGCTAACAATAATTCATACTTCAAATAGCTCAACTTTTCTATTCCTAAAGCGCCTTTGTTGGCTATCACAAGTTTTTACCATCTTGTAATTCTGTCAAAATGTTAAAAGAATTCATCAAAATACCGATATTTTTATGTGTATAGCGATAAATGCAAATATATTAAGACAGATAAATCATTACAAACGTCTTGATTACTGAATTAACTACTGGATAACTGGATTTAACCCTGATCGAGAAATTAAGGCGAACATTGATCGAGCTGGAGTTGCATCTTGATAATATACTGGTTTAAAACTTATAGAATAATACGTTTGATATATAATTTTTTTATAGAGTTGTTTACTATATAAAGCCTAAACATGGACTATTTGTTAGAATAGTGGAAGACACAGGAAGGTTTGCCATACAACCTTTATCCGTCAGTGATGCAGACAGAAGACTCATGTCTCGAAATGTTCGATCGTTTTTTCACTAAACTCCACGCCAGCTATTTTCTAATCTTGTCCTTCCGAATATTTGTCCTGATAATTGCTTTGTCCATATTTTAAGCCTATATTATTTTGACCTAATTAAGAGACAAAATGTATATCAAACATTGCGTAGCTTTAGCACCCTCTAAAAATACATCCGACTAGTAAAAGCAACAATGGACTCGTCAACAGTAATTGTCAGAGTACAAAATGAGCTCAGTGAGTACTCTAACTTTTCAATAGTTAAAGGATTGTCATGTCTCATGGAACAGAAGATGCGGCAGAAATATATTCACAATTAAAAACAGGGACAGAAGATACTGAACTAGAAATAAATATTTAAAAGACCAAAAACTAACACAGGCAAGAGCTAGGGGAACAGGCGCACAGTTAAATTAGAGGACGATATTGAAACTGTAAAAAGTTTCACATATCTGGGGGTTACATTAAACACGGATGGAACACAAGAACCAGAAATTCAAAAAAGAATAATAAAGAGAAACAAAGCATACTTTTCACTCGCCCATGTGTTCCGCTCCAAAAACATACACTGGTTATAGAAAATCAGGGTCTACAAGACGATTATCAGATCAATAGTACGTTATGGAAAGCTGGAAGTCTTCGAACGAAAAGTCCGAAAATATTTAGTCCTATTAACGAAAACGGAGCATGGAGATCCAGGTACTACCATGAACTCTACCAACTGTTCAAAGAGGCACCGATCTCAGAATTCGCTAAACTTAAGAGACTTCGATGGGCTGGTCATATACTGAGAATGGAGACCAGAAGATTGCCAAAAAGTGCTCCAGATAGAAAAATGCAGGGCGCAAGTCCAAAAGAAAAGACCACGGAAAAGGTGGGAGGATGAAGTAGTAGCGGACGCGCAAAATTTGCTAGACGTGAGAGCCTGGAGAAGATCGGCTTGGGACCGGCAAGGTTGGAGGCATAGTTTGGAGGAGGCCAAGGTTCGATTTGGGCTAAAGCGCCATTGGAGAAAGAGATTATTTTGACCTGCTTGAATATTTTTTTTTCTTTGCATATTTCTACCATATTTAGTACTTGACATGTTCTGCATGATTTCTGTTTATGGCAACTACAACTACATTATTTGTTTTCGTACCTAGCATCATTTTTGTCAGTCTGATCCATTGATCCATACAGTTATTTCTTATTTGTCCTATCATATGCTTGACTAAAATTTATATGTATCTATAGTGTTAACAGGCCATTAAGCTTATTGCTGGATGGATAATTTCCATTGATTTCTGTTCTTAGCTGTCAGCTTACAATCTCTGATTTCCATCTCTCTGATATCTTCTATCACTACATCTCTCCATTTCATTCTTAGTCTTTCTCTCTTTTTTTTGTCTGATGTCTTCCTTACATGTCTGATCAATAAGGGTACCTACGTACATATATTCATCCACCTTCTCGAATTCTACAACTGATTCATCCTCCACCTCTAATTTAAAGGAGCACCTGGTGTTTATTCCTTTTTTGCTAGAAATTTCCAAATACTTGGATTTATTAAGAATAACTTTGAGTCCCATTTTAGAGCTTTTTCGAATCAGTCTTTTTGCTATACTTGCCAGTACTATTCCATTTCTTGCAATAAGAATCACATCATCAGCATGGGGACTCTTTGCTTAAAAGAGTGCCGGACCTATTTATCCCACTAATCCTTACAATTTTTTCTATAACTATAATAGCAAGGTAGACAACAAATCTCCTTCGCAAACACCTTTTTTCACTTCGAATTCATCTGAGGCTGTACCGTACCGTTCCATTTTCCAGCACAAAAGGTTTTTGTAATTGTCATTTTTACCATAGTCATTGATCCCTTGCGAAATTCTCCCTGGTATTTTCCTAGATTCTTTTCCATATATATATTTCTAATCATTTTTTAATTAGTATCTTCTTCTTCCAGTTCCATGACCGTTATCGATCGTTGGATATCATGTTGGCTACCATATTCGCTATCGTGACTTTATTGACAGCAGCTCTAAATAACGATGTAGTTGATTTTCCATACCATTGCCTTAGATTTTTCACCATGATGTTCTTCTTCTACCAGGACCACGATTACCTTGGATCTTTCCCTGAATGATCAGATGTAAAAGATCATATTTTTCAGGGTGTCTCATAATATGACCGAAGTATTCCAGCTTGCGTTTCTTTATTATATTGACCAGTTGTGTTGTTTGGTTCAGCTGTCTAAGGACCTCCTCATTTCTAACTCTGTCGACCCAGCTTATTTTTAGTAGTCGTCTGTATACCCACATCTCAAAGGCTGTCAAGCGTTTAAGCATAGCCTCAGTTAGGGTCCACGCTTCTACTCCATACAGCAGGACAGGAAAGATGTAGCAAGATATCATACGAACTCTAAGGTCAATGCTAAGATCATGACTGCAAAGTACGTTTCTCATTTTTACAAAGGCAGCTCGGGCTTGTTCTATTCGGCTTTTAATTTCTGCGGTTGGATCCCAGCTCTCATTGATATTACTGCCGAGATACACGAGTTTCTCTACTCTGTCCAGTGTGGCATCTCCGACTTTTATACCGTCATCATGTATATAATTTTGTTTGCTAACTATCATATATTTAGTTTTCTTAACGTTGAGTTTTAATCCATACTGATCACAAGTCTGTTTTATTTTGTTCATTAGATTTTGAAGGTCTTCTCCGCAATTGGCAAGGACTAAGGTATCGTCGGCATATCTAATATTGTTGACGGTTACTCCATTCACAATAATACCTTCGGTTGTCTCCATTAAGGCTTCCTTAAATATTTCCTCCGAATATAAGTTAAAAAGTAAAGGCGACAATATACAGCCTTGTCTCACTCCTCTTTTTATATTTATTTCATCCGACAGTTCTTTTTCAACCTTTATTCTTGCCACTTGATGCCAGTATGGCATCAAGTATGCCAGGGTATGCCAGTATGGCATGGTATGCCAGGTTGAATAAAGCACTTAATTAGTATGGCAAGCACTTTGTATCTTACCTCTAACAAGGATATTTCTCTATAGTTTGCTTATTCAGGTCTATCTCCTTTTTTGTGTATAGGACTTATAATCGACTTGTTCCATTCTTGGGAAATTTTTTTATCATCCCATACTTCTTCTATTAGCTCACTAACTTGGTTTATTAAAGCCTCTCCTCCATATTTCAACCACAGTGTTGTCTGCCACAGTGCCGCTTCTCCCGAGTTTTTTTGATTTTTCAAATCTTTTATTATTTCCTCAATTTCTTCTCTTGTGGGCTTTGGTATCTACTACTATTTGGGGTTTAGGAAGACTATAATTTTCTTCGGTACTCACTATGCCATTTAGCAGCTCTTCGAAATATTCTTTCCGTCTTTTACCATAGTTGGTCTTCGTACACTATCAGGTTTCCTTGCTTATCTGTTACATTCATCGTACCCAATTTTAATTTCACATCTTTGTAGAAATTTTTTATTTCGTCTTTCTTGTAATTTTCTTCAATGTGCTTTACTTTATCATCCATATACTTTCTTTTTCGCGACCTTAGGATTGTCTTTATTTTTTCGTTGTTCAGCATACCTAGGTCGACTTGTTTTTGCGATCGCAAACTTTGAAATCTCAAATCTGAACTTTTTTAAATTCTGTTCTACATTCGTCATTGAACCAGTGGTTTTTTCTAAATTTTTTTGTTCTAGGTATGTTCTTCGACATTGCTTCCTTTTAGTGTTTGTCATTTTCAAGAACTTTTGTTGTATGTTACTTACAGTAGCACTATCTTGTTTATCGTAGATTTCTTGTACTTATACCTATTTGATAATCCGGCACTACCTCAAATTTTCGCAGTTTTTCCAAATCAAATTTAGTTCTCACTTTCTTTCCGTTTATGATTTTTAATTATTGCATCTCCCATATTAATTCTAACCAAAAAATGATCAGAGTTTACGTTAGCTCCTCTGCACGGTTGATGTCTAAAATTTATAAATAAAATCTATTCTGATAGGTTGTATTCGAATATATAAAATTTGTTATACCGTATCACCACTTGTCTTCCTCTTCCAATATATTTTAGATAATTGTTGCAAATCTTATCGAAATATGTTCTAAATTATTTCCAGAAAGGTCACAATTCTACAGTTACGATAAACTTGATAATCAATTGATCAGTATTTAAAACTTGTATTAATGTTCAAATATCAGTCATGCAATCCATTAAATTCTCTAACTTTTATCGGGAACTTTCGTATAATTTCAGTCCTATTTATAATTTCTATTAAAATTAAATTTAACTTTTAGATTTTTGGAAAATCTTATAGAAACTTCCTCTCTGAAAAAGTATGATCCACAAATAATGCAGTTGAATCTTCCAGAATGCGACAAATTTGAGTTCCGTTCAGATGACTATTGGAAGTGCTCAATAAGATATCTCACTACAACTATCTTCCATCCCACAGGAACCTGCAAGATGGGACCCTCAGACGATGGAACTGCTGTGGTTGATCTAGAGTTGAGAGTGTTTGGAATCGATAACTTAAGAGTGGCTGATGCTAGTATTATGCCAAATATAGTCAGCGCTAACACGCATGCCCCCAGCATGATGATTGGTTATAAAGCGGGGCTAATGATCAGCAAATACTGGAGTGATAGACATACTGAATTATAATATATTATTATTTTGTTTCTGGTGTTGAAATAAAGAATGTAGTACACAACATTAAATTATTACAAGAATTTTTATACCAGGTAACAAAAACAAAATTTGTTTAATTTATTAATCTTTTGTATTTTGAGAATGATTTCCGAAGTGGAAATCGAAACTTATTCTTCAAGTTCCGTTCCATCGGAGATTAGAAATCACTCAGGCAATTATAATTTTATTGGTTACGCCCTTGAATAGTTCAATTAAACTACATCCAAACCATTCACGTAGACTGCGTAGCCCCGAGATTTTACGTCTTCCTACGCATCTTTTGCCTTTGATTTTGCCCTTCCTTAATAGTTCGTATTTTTCACGTCGCAGGATGTGCCCAACTTCCAACTTCCTTATTTTTAGGGAATTTAAAACTTCGCATTGTTTTCCTAGTTGTTCGAGAAATTGTGCGTTTGTTTTGAGATCCATCCATGAAATTTTCAGAATACGCCTGATAACACCACATTTCTAATGGTTTCAGGTTATTAATTTTCTTCAGAAGAGATCTTCACGAACACTACCGTCAAGGAAGGAGATATTTCCGAAACAACCGGGGACATGACAGTTTTCGATACATAAAACGAAGAGAATAATATGGCCATGGAAAAAGTAAGGACTATATTCCCAGATTTGTCAACTGTTCCAGCGGAAACAGATGAGAAAGGTGGTTTGGGTATATGAGAGTGACAATCTCTGCACATAAGCATAGGGAATGGATAAATAAAGAGTAGCGAGGATTCAAGGTTCTCCTAAATAGAAAAGAAGAACCAGAGATCATTAAGTTCCCTAAGGCTGGTAAAAAACTAGTACAAAAGATGCAAGAACTGGGACGAAACAAAGTCGAGATCCATACTCCGGTAACCCTGGGGATCGACACAACAAGAAGAATACCAGAATGGACTTCAAGAGGAAAGAATGTGGCCATCACGCTAATAGGAAAAAGAATGGGGAGAGGATGGGCCCCCGTAAAACCAAGAGAACAAAAGGGTGTGGTGATAAAAAATAAAACTAAAGAAAAGTCGTTCGTATGACTAATGAAGGAAATTAAAAAAATTCTTGCAGGAGGGAAAGATGTGGACATCAACAGAATAAGACAGACAAGACACCAAGGGATACTGCAAGAACTAGAAGGAGGAAGAGAAATGTCCGAGAAAGTAAAGAAAATACTTTCGGGAAAAGCGTGTCTAGAGTGATGACAAAAGGGGGCACTGCCAAAAAGAGAATCTTAGTGCAGAAAAGCCCACCAGACAGTACGACAGAAGCAATTAAGAAGGCAGTAGTGGAAGCTGCAGGCAAAGAACAGGCCAGTGACATAGTCAGAGCCTGGACAGAAGGACGAGGCGACGCGAAAGGTATGAAAAGCGCTATGATAGATGTCGACGAAGACGCTGTTGAAAAAGTTGAAAAAGTATATGAAAAGGATACGAGTGGACTTTACATCTTGTCAAATGGTGGAAGCAAGGGCAAAGATACCCAGATGTAGGAGATGCCTTGCCTTCGGAAACAGACCATGGAACTGCAAAAAAAAACAAAACAGAAGAGGATGCTGCTTCCAATGTAAACGAAGTTCATTTGGCTGCTGAATGCAGGAAAGAAACAATATGTCTCAATTGTAATATAGGTAAGAGTAGGTTGTTCTCCGAAAGTGTCGACAGCGGCTATCCCACTTTCAGAGTGCGGTACGTGCCACAGTCAACTCCGCACAAGTAGGAGATGGAGGTTTTAGTTGGTAGGCAGGATAACAGGAAGGCATCTGTTTGCAGGACCTCCTTCTTCTAAGGGAGATGGGCTCGGATATATTCCTATACCCTGAATCCAACATATGCCAGTCATCCCTAGGGATGGTTTAGCCTGGTATGGTTTTTAGAAATTGCCACCCTCAGAGAAAATTTTTTTTTGTAAATATGGAATAAAGACTAAATGGTAGAAGCTATAAAACTCGTCCAAAAAAAGGAAATGGGACGTTTAAAAGCGGTGCAACATTTTCAAGTACTTACGACAACTTTCTTCCCATGTCAAAATAATGACTAGTCTGAAGAGGAGCCAGCACCCATTACCCTACGATTGAATTACAGTATTGGGCATATAACTTGAATGATGGAGAATAAAATTCATGGTTTCGCCAAAACAGCAAAGATTAAATAAAAATTTGCCGAAACAATTAAAAGACCAACAATATAACTTTTGATAGAACATTAGGATTAGCTATGGAAAAAGGGGATCCCTTTTTTGTACTTTGCCTAAGAGGTTTGCGTTAAAAATAACTTTTCACTAAATCGTACAACGTGGAGAAATCTAATTTTACACCTGTACAAAGTAAGAGACTCTAAATCATCGGTTGCAGAGAAAATATTTTTGAACTTTGTAACCTCGGAAACCTTTTTTGGAAGGTGCTAGAAAGGTCACTAATGGAGACACTGCGGACGGCAGCCAGATGGTTGGTGGAGAGCGAGTCGTGGGTTCGAAACTAGCTTTTGGAACCAGGACTGGATCCAACGGACGAAAGAAGTAAAGAACAAGATAAGATATATTAGAAAAGATATAGAAATAAACAAAAAGATGGATGGGTAAAATTACCAAAGATGAGATAAGATAGAAACAGGGCGCCACTCATTTTTTTGGGGTTTAAGGAGAAAATTAAGAAATCTTAGAAAAGAAAAGAGATAAGGAAAGATATTTAGGTTCAGAGACCAAACCCAAGAAAAGATACCAACAGTTATTTATTAAATAAATTTGGTCAACACATTATATAAACAAATAATAAATATATTTGGTATTACACTTACTTACCTACGAAACTTAATCAGCCTGATCTTTCTACTGGTCAAAGGTATAGTTATATTTAAAGTTAAAAAGAAATATTCAGAGTTACGGTTATATCATGGAACATTGTAAGAAGTCGACAGAAATCATAGGCCAGTTGTAATGTAGTTCTGAGAAGGTAAAAAGATTCTAATGAACAACGAAACTAACGTACCCTTCTAGCTATAAATGTGATGAAATATAAATCTTCTAGATTAGGTTTTTCCGAAAAATTATTATAACGTGCCTTCGAATATTTACAAATCTATCATAAAGGAACCCGCCTTCACCGAAAATCATTAGTTCCTTTCATACTCAGGATTAAGACGGTAAAGGATTAAAACCTTTCGACTCAGGTGAAATTCCGTGCATTCAATAAAACTTTGAAGATGGTAAAGCGAACATGAGCGTATCATCACGGGGGTAAAAGGATAAAAAATAATTAATATTTTAATTAAGTATATAAAAAAATGTTACAACTTGCTGCTCTAAATAAATCAATCGATCTGCATTGATACCAATCACGTAGATTCTTCAAACATGAGTTCTGCCTTCGGCCAACAGATCTTCTTCCTTGAATCTTTCCCTGTATTGTGATGTCTGAGGGAAAAACTACAGACAACTTTATTTACATCAGCATCACTTTAGCAATAGTTACTTACATGAATGCTACTGGGTATTTTGTACCACCGTTCATTATTTTCCGACAATAAGTATGACTACTCAGCTAATGAAAGGCTGTCCACCAGAATCTGTTGGGGTTGCACATTTATCAGAGTGGATTTAAATGAACATCTGTTTGCGTATCAGAATTATGGACTTCAAATAAAAATGTATTCAGTGATGTTGACTTTATTACTGGTAAAAAATGATGTGAGAGATGGTTAGAAAACACCTGTAGTAACAAAACCAAATACTATCGTATACGGCTTCCGAGTTTAATAGCAGTGGCCATTTAGCTCCACTGGTAGAAAAAACACAAAAGTTTCTAAAAGGGGAAAAACGCTGCAATATCAGTAGTCGTAACAGCTTCCTGCTATAAAAAATATTTGCAACCCTACATTCAATTCACATTAGAACGTAAAGATGCTACAGGTTCAATACCTTTTTTAGACAGCAAGTTAATATGAAAAGGTACCCATTTACTGGTTGATTGGTATAGAAAACCTCAGTTCGGGTAGATATCTCAATTATTGGTCATACCATAAATATTCAATGAAACTTAATTTTGTTAAAGAAATGAAAAATCGTGTCCTTAAAATCAGTGATACCGCTTTGCATACAAAAAATCTAAAAATCCTTTATAACCTATTCATTGAAAACTCATACCCAAGTATACTACTGAAGAAAATTTTGTTTAACACTCCACAAAATTTACCTAGTCATTTAAGAAACAAGGAAAATATGTCTTTATAACAAGATAGGATTGTACCTGTAGATCCTTTACAAAAACAAACCAGAATAAAATATGTATCTCTTCCATACATCAAGGACATTGGGCATAAACTAAGTAGAATTTTTTCATCAATTAATAATATCAAAATTGCATATAAAACGGTACTAACAGTTAACAAAGTTTTTTTTAAACTTAAAGACCAATCCGCACTTTTGTCCTTAACAGATGTCGTTTATTGTATACCGTGCGGATCATGTGAACAAGTATACTATGGTAAAACATCAAGATGCATTAAAGACCGCATTACATCGCATCCTGAAAGAAGTGCATTGGAAGAACATGCATTTAAAAATGGGCATCGGATAGATTATAATAACATCAAAGTAGTAGAACAGGAAAGTAACATCACCAAAAGACTTTTTCTTGAAATGGTCTACATTTGCAAAAATAACATTGAAATGAATCATAGAACGGATATTGGTCATCTAAATGAAATGTTCTTCTATTTGTTACTACTAGATAAATGCAACAATAACACAAACAATAATTTATCAATTGACATTTATTAAAATTTTACAAATTAAGTTTTTTTTTTAAATTTAGTAATTCTTGTATACACACAGATACTGGGGTCATACAAAACAAAATCATAATCAATTGTAACATTTTTAGAATTATGACCTTATTTCTTTATGTTAATTTAATAAACTTTGTGTTGAAATCTTGACAAGTTAAATTTCACTTCTTTATGATATTAATAAATATATAATAATTTATATGACCACAATACACCTAATGATAGGCCTATAATTTGTTGTACTAGCAGTTGCTTGATATTAAGGATGTGGGATTTTCACTTGTCAAAACGAATATTTTTAAACTTATGCACGAAGAGTTCCGAAAAGCCAATAATAAAACCACTGGATTGTCGTGATAAAAGACTAATGACAATACAATAAAATTAAGAATAAAAATGTCATGAATGTATGTATAATAATTAAGTGTTTGTGATGCTTTTATGTAAAAAATATGTAAAAAATATGTAAAAAATATGACAGACTGCAAAAATTTTATCAACATTATATAAAATCATTAAAGATACAACCTCATTAAGTTTTTAAGTAGAGAATTTTTAATTAATTATACAAACTTTAACAAATTATTCATCACATTTTTAGCTCCCTGATGAAGGACATAACCAATGTCCGAAAGCTAGGAATAAAAATTTAGAAGAGTACACGGAATATAAATTCGGAACATAGGAATATAATGTATTTCGGCTCAATTCTGCTGTAGGTGGTTGGCCAACAAAAGATTGTCAAATAATTATATATATAAAAATCCAATACTTCAGCGGCTGCTGGATTCTGAACTCTATAAAAATTGAAAGCTACACATAAATCTACGATTTTATTATGCTGTCAAACCAGTTATAGTCCAGGAAATGAGCATTTCCACCTCGCAATTTTTTCGTGCTGCGTGGATTGACATTTAAAATTTAACAGAAGGTAGCAGTAATAGCCTAAGGATCAAAATCTATATCGAACCAAAGTGCGCCAAAGCCTAGGGGGTGGTTGCCACCCCATCTCCGGGGTGAAATTTTTTTTTTACGTTTTAACTACAGGTTTCGATTAAAAAAGTGATTCTAAACAAAAAATGTGCTATACATTTTTTTTTATAAAATGATATTTTTCAAGTTAATTCGCGATTGAAAGTAACAACTTTTAGACGAAAAAATCCACGTTTTTTAATCGATTTTTCGCGAATAACTCGAAAATGGTGCATTTTATCAAAAAAAATTGTAGAGAACAAATTTGTAGCTTTTAAAAAGACAAATACAATTCATTTTTTAAAATGTTTTTGCGATATAATAGGAACCGAAATACGTATCAATGTTCAGCGGTTTCTTCAAATGCCAAATTTGAAAGATTCAAAGTCAAATATCGGGAAAATGATGCATTTTTGGAAGAAAACTCACAAAACCTTTTTTAAAGAGCATAAATAGACCTATCATAAAAAAAAGACTCTAGCTCAAAAATTGAGTGAGTTATGATAAAAATAAGGTCAATACCTCATTTTTTACGAAAAAAATCGAGGAAAACAACCCCCTATCCACCCCATAATTAAAATCGATCTTCACCCTTCTGCAATTCCCTTTGTACATGTATTGTTAATACGTCCAAGAAGTTTGACCCATTTAAAATGCTTAGTTTTAGAAAAAGTACAGCTTAAAGCGAGAAAACGATTTACAATTTCATATTTTTTACCCTTCTTTTTTTTAAATA